GTGTGGCCCATTGGGTGGGCATGGCTGCAGTGATAAAGCAGACCGGGTAGGACTAAAAAGTTCAATCAATCAATTCCAACTTTGCAAGATTTTTTTTCCCCCGCAAGAAGTTGAAATTGACTGATTGATTGAATCTTTTTTTTTTTGTACACGGAGGTAGAGGCCTAAAGCAAAAAGGTTTTATAAAACCCAGCTGAAGGCGACGACGCGCGTGCCCACAAAGAGGGCTCTGAGTGCCGCCTCTGGCACCCGTGCCATAGGTTCGCCACCACTGCCAAATGGAATTGCATGGACCAGAGACAGATGATATCTTTTGATTCCTGGGTATCCCATGTAGTGCCCAAGGATAACAGAATGTCCACTAAAATATTCCTGGGCACCCAGCAAGTTCCTCATCCTATTTATTTGGTAGTTGTTTTGTAGAAGTACTCATAGATTATTCTCCAAACCCTGTATGTTTCCCAAAAGATTACAGGCTCATGCCTTAAGTCATTGTATTTACTTGATGCTGGTCTTCCCTCTCCTCAAGAAGCTATCACTGGACCCAGCCATTCTGGAAAATTTTCATCCAGTATCCAATCTTTCCTTTTTAATGCAATAGCTTCAGAGGGTCCTCAATTATACAGATTATCTGGACTCCTTTTGGTTGGGTTTCAGCCCCGGGATTGGGACATAGACAGCACTGACTATGCTTTTTGATGACCTATGGCAAGAGCAGGATGGGGGACAGTGCATCCATTCTTGCTCTTCTTAACTTCTCAGCACCTTTCAGTACTATTGACCATGGAATCCTTCTGGACTGGCTGCTTGAGTGGAGAGTGGCTGGCATTTTATTGACCTGGTTCCCTTCCTCAGTGGCTAGTTCAGTTAATGTTGATGTGAACAAGAAGACCCACCCTTGGCCCTTAAATTGTGCTGTGCCATAAGAGTCAATACTCTTTCTGCTCCTGTTTAATTTAATTTAATTTAATTTAATTTAATACATAGACTTATATGCCGCCCTTCTCCCCACGGGACTCAGGGCGGCTCACAGCATATTAAAACAACATAGTACATTTCCCCAATAAAAGCCAATTAAAACCAAATATTTGTAGCTGTGTCTCTTATTAAAAATCATTAAAAATTATCCCTATTTAAAATTCACCCTAGGTCAGTCCCGCTTGCTGAAAAA